CACACTCATACACTCAAATCACACACTCACTCACTCACGCACTCACTCACACACGCTCACACACACACTCACTCACGCACTCACTCACACACGCTCACACACACACACTCACTCACACACACACGCGCACACACACACACACACTCTCTCACACACACACACACTCACACTCTGTACAAAGCCTATAATTTACATAATAAATTATAATTTGGCATTCAGATACGTTAAAATCGCAAATATGGAAATATTATGGAATATTTGGATTTGTGCCGAATGAGAGAGGTAGGATTCACGAGCACAAAGCTCCATTTCGCAAACAGTCAAGTGCACAAGCCTTCATAGTATACTCCTTCGTCAGTCTGTGAGAGACGCATTCAGAGTCAGCACATGGTCACTGTCTAGTGAACTTTGTTTTCAAGTGCGCAACTCACGGCATTCGCTGTTCTTCTGCTGGCGGCCGGTTATCAAGCAGCATTGCATTGCTGCGGGCGCCCCCTTCTGGATTGGGGGTTAATTGCCTGTATTCGTTGGCGGCCGGTTATCAAACAGCGTTGCATTGCTGCGGGCGCCCCCTTCTGGAAGTTTTAGAAATGTTATTTTTATTTTATTTGTCCTTTTTATTTAGTTTTATTTGTCATATATGTATATATAATGCAGTCTAATGAATGTAATGCTAATGCCTGGCGCAGGCTGTTGGAGGTGCTGGAGGTTGCGGAGGACATGGCAATAGATATTCCTCACATCTGGCTGTATCTGGCTGAGCTCATCAGTCCCATGCTGCACGAGGGAGGGATTCCCATGGGGCCACTCTTCAGGTGAACCTGCAAACCCAATAAAGCCGCACAGAAATCAATCAGTAAATGACTCTGGCAGTAAGATATGAGGAGCAGCAGATGAGCGTCTGACCTCTGACCTGTTCACAGGGAGATGTCTAAACCGCTGGTGCCTCTTGGGAAGGCTGGAGTTCTGCTGGTGGAAATCCTCAAGCTGCTCTGTAAAGCAATGGTAGGACGCTTGTGTGAATTTAAGATTAGGATAGCTTTATTGGCACGGTGAATGGAATCTTTACATTGCCAAAGCGTTTATAACACTATGCATTCAAATGTACAACATATACACACAAACACACAAAACTAGATAGTCTGTGATTTAATTAAATAAATAAATACACTTTGAGAGTGAAGCTTCTGCTCTGAGTTTGAGTCGCTTATATTGTGCATTTCAGAATGCAACGTGCACCGATTATCTTCACAAATTTGTATTAAACCGCTTATAAACCCGTTGTTATCAACAAAAGAAAAGCTTCCCCGCGGTTTCCTGCCAGAATTAAAGTTCAGTGCTTTAACAACTGAAAGTGAAGAACTTAAGAAAGCCATAAATATTAGTATTTTAATTTTACAGCTTTATTGTAAAATAAAATGAAATAAATTAATTATATATATATATAAAAACAGATAACATCATTTTTAACAATTTTCAAAAATCATGGTTTTTCATTGTGCATTTCAATTAATCTCAATCAAACTGCAGTTGGGTTATGTTGATTAGGTTAAAAAATAACTAAAAAATACAGCTAACTAACACAATAAAAACATGATAATGTCATAAAAACATGATTTTCGAAAATCTGCTTCTGCAAATAAACTCTCTCTCTCTCTATATATATATATATATATTCTTTCTTACATTTTTTATTTTACAGTGAAATATTGCATTAGTAATATTTTTTATTTTGTTTAATATCGTGTTCGGTAATAATAATCTAAGTAAAAACAATAATAATGGTAGTTAATAATTGTATAATAAATAGTTTTTAATAATATGTAATACAATTTTTGTTTGCTTTTTTACATTTTTTATTTTACAGTGAAATTACATTAATATATACATTTATATACATTAATATTTCTCATTTTGTTTAATAATTGTACTTGGTAATAATAACCATAGTAATAATAATAGTTATTATATTATTATTAATATTATATATAATATTATCTTATTTCATATTGATATATTTAATCACAAACGTTCTGGTCAAATAGTTTTTTTCCCTTTTTTCCCCAAATCATTTAATCCTGCTCGCTGTGTCCCAAATTGCTTGCTCATTCACTACAAAGTGATCGACACTGAGTGAGCTAATTCCAATGCTAATTTAAATACCTGTTGTACACTATAAAGTGCATTGTGGGTACAGAAGAGTGAACTACATAGGGAATGATTGACACACCACATAGCGCACTATATATTCCAGCTCTTGTTCTGAATGAAGTTCTGAAAGCGTCCATTCTGAACTGTTTCCTGTTTCCTGTCTCAGAGTCATAAGAAGGTGGGAGCGATGTGGAGAGACGCGGCACTGAGCTGGAAAGACTTCCTGCCCGAAGACGAGGACGCCAATAAGTTTGTCACTGAAGAGGTTTGTGATGAATTCAGTCGTAGCAGCAGCAGAGTGATCAACGGCGGCATTCTTGCATTATGATGTTAAACTGTATGATTGATAATCCCTTATGTAATGAGTGTGTGTGTGTGTGTGTGTGTGTGTGTGTGTGCGCAGGGAGTGGAGTTCACTCTGGGTGAGGAGTGTGTGAGGAAGAGCAGTAAAGTGACTCTGAGTCCAGAAGACATTTCTAGAGAGCTGGAGCGACTCCTGCAGGAGAAAGCAGACAACCAGAGGATCTTTGACTGGGTGGAGGTACGAGTGTGTGTGTGCGAGTGGGAGTGCGTGTTCGAGTGCGTGTTCGAGTGCGTGTTCGAGTGCGTGAGTGAGTGCATGAGTGAGTGCTTGAGGGAGTGTGTGTGTGAGTGCGTGTGCGAGAGGCAGTGCGTGAGGGAGTGCGTGGGCGAGTGTATGTGCGAGAGGGAGTGTGTGAGCAAATGCGAGAGGGAGTGCGTGAGCGAGTGGGTTTACGACTGCGAGTGTGTGAGGGAGTGCGTGGGCGAGTGTGTGTGCGAGAGGGAGTGTGTGAGCAAATGCGAGAGGGAGTGCGTGAGCGAGTGGGTTTACGACTGCGAGTGTGTGAGGGAGTGCGTGGGCGAGTGTGTGTGCGAGAGGGAGTGTGTGAGCAAATGCGAGAGGGAGTGCGTGAGCGAGTGTGTTTACGACTGCGAGTGTGTGAGGGAGTGCGTGGGCGAGTGCGTGTGCGAGAGGGAGTGCGTGAGCGAGTGCGTGACCAAATGCGTTTACGAATTCGAGTGCGTGGGCGAGTGCGTGAGCGAGTGCGTGTGCGAGAGGGAGTGCGTGAGCGAGTGCGTTTACGACTGCGAGTGGGTGTTTGAGTGCGTGAGTAAGTGCGTGTGGGAGTGAGAGTGCGTGTTCGAGTGCGTGAGCGAATGCGTGTTCGAGTGGGAGTGCGTGTTCGAGTGCGTGCGAGTTCGAGTGGGAGTGCGTGAGCGAGTGCGAGTGGGAGTGCGTGTGCGAGTGCGTGTTCGAGTGCGTGAGCGAGTGGGAGTGAGTGCGTGAGTGAGTGCGTGTGGGAGTGCGTGTTTCGAGTGTGTGCGAGTTCGAGTGGGAGTGCGTGAGCGAGTGCGAGTGGGAGTGCGTGTGCGAGTGCGTGTTCGAGTGCGTGAGCGAGTGCGTGTGCGAGTGCGTGTGGGAGTGCGTGTTCGAGTGCGTGTTCGAGCACGTGAGCGAATGCAAGTGGGAGTGCGTGTTCGAGTGCGAGTGCGTGTTCGAGTGTGTGTTCGAGTGCGTGAGCGAGTGCGTGTTCGAGTGTGTGTTCAAGTGGGAGTGCGTGTTCGAGTGCGTGAGCGAGTGCGTGTTCGAGTTGGAGTGCATGTTCGAGTGCGTGTTCGAGTGCGTGAGCGAGTGGGAGTGAGTGCGTGAGTGAGTGCGTGAGTGAGTGTGCGTGTGCGTGTGTGTGTGTGAGTGCGAGTGCGCGAGCGAGTGCGTGTGCGAGTGTGTGTGCGAGTGGTAGTGCGTGAGCGAGTGCTTGTTCGAGTGCATGTGCAAGTGCGTGAGCGAGAATGTGCGCGAGTGGTAGTGCGTGAGCCTGAGCGAGTGCGTGAGCGAGTGTGTATCTGGGGCATTTTCATCTCTTTCAGCAGTGTTTTTGCCCTTTTTTCCGGGTTAAGATTCTGGTGTGCACGTGTGTGTGTGTGTGTTTTCTCACCTAGCACCCCAACCTGCAATGCCGATAGCTTGCAGCACATGGACACCAAACTGGCAGATATAGATGAAGAAGAATACAAAGAACCTAAAAGAGCTGTCACTCCTACAGAAAGAGAGAAAGAAAACAGTTATAGTCTGAGTTCTCCATAAAGGTAGTTAGTGAGTGCGTGAGTGAGTGTGCGTGTGCGTGTGTGTGTGTGAGTGCGAGTGCGCGAGCGAGTGCGTGTGCGAGTGTGTGTGCGAGTGGTAGTGCGTGAGCGAGTGCTTGTTCGAGTGCATGTGCAAGTGCGTGAGCGAGAATGTGCGCGAGTGGTAGTGCGTGAGCCTGAGCGAGTGCGTGAGCGAGTGTGTGCGCAAGTGGTAGTGCGTGAGCGTGTTCGAGTGCGTGAGCGAGTGTGTGTTCGAGTGGTAGTGCGTGAGCGAGTGTGTGTTCGAGTGCGTGAGCGAGTGTGTGTGCGAGTGGTAGTGAGCGAGCGAGTGGGAGTGCGTGAGCGTGTTCGAGTGCGTTAGCGAGTGGGAGTGCGTGAGCGTGTTCGAGTGCATGTGCAAGTGGTAGTGCGTGAGCGAGTGCGTGTGCGACTGCGTGTTGGAGTGCGTGAGCGAGTGCATGTTTGAGTGCGTGTTCGAGTGCGTGTGTGAGTGGTAGTGCGTGAGCGAGAGTATGTTCGAGTGCGTGTTCGAGTGCGTGTTCGAGTGCGTGTGCGAGTGGTAGTGCGTGAGCGTGTTAGAGAGCGTGAGCAAGTGTGTGTGCGAGTGGTAGTGCGTTAGCGTGCTCGAGTGCGTGTGCGAGTGGTAGTGTGAGTGCGTGTTCGAGTGCGTGAGCGAGTGGTAGTGCGTGAGCGAGTGCGTGTTCGAGTGTGTGTTGGAGTGCGTGTGCGAGTGCATGTTCGAGTGCGTGTTGGAGTGCGTGTGCGAGTGGGAGTGCGTGAGCGTGTTCGAGTGCGTTAGCGAGTGCGTGTGTGAGTGGTAGTGCGTGAGCGTGTTCGAGTGCGTGTGCAAGTGGTAGTGCGTGTGCGTGTTGGAGTGCGTGAGCGAGTGCATGTTCGAGTGGGAGTGCGTGAGCGTGTTCGAGTGCGTGAGCGAGTGCGTGTGTGAGTGGTAGTGCGTGAGCGTGTTCGAGTGCGTGTGCAAGTGGTAGTGCGTGTGCGTGTTGGAGTGCGTGAGCGAGTGCATGTTCGAGTGGTAGTGCGTGAGCGTGTTCGAGTGCGTGTGCGAGTGGTAGTGCGTGAGCGAGTGTGTGTTCGAGTGCGTGAGCGAGTGCGTGTGGGAGTGGTAGTGCGTTAGCGTGCTCGAGTGCGTGAGCGAGTGCGTGTTCGAGTGCGTGAGTGAGTGGTAGTGAGTGCGAGTGCGTGAGCGAGTGCGTGTGCGACTGCGTGTGCGAGTCCATGTGAGAGAGCGAGAGAGTAAATAAATAGTTGTTGGTTTCACCTCAGCGATCTTTGACCTGTCTCTCTCTGCAGGCCAATCTGGACGAGCAGCAAACATCATCGAACACGTTTGTCCGGCCGCTGATGACTGCTGTCTGTCAGTCTGCCATCATCTGTGAGTCTCTTCGTCCTCCTCTAATCACACTCGAAACAGGATTAACGCACATCATTCAGCGGGAAATAACGTGAGGCGGCACTCGATTCTATACATCAGGATTTGATTGTGTGTTAACGGAAATGAAATATTAAAAAAGCAGCTAATTGCCAAGGCAACAGTTCTAGTTTTCATGTAGTTTAACTTGATGTACTAAAATAACTAAAACTAAAATAACAGTTGATTAAAAAAAATTTAAAATTATTTAGACAAACACATAGAAAATTTCTGGAACTTTACCTAAAATTAAATTGAAAACATTGAAAAAACTTGTTTATAATAATATAATAAAACGTTTTGAATTATTTATAATGCATA